GGGAGACTAACCCAGCAACCCACCGCCAGGGCCCCCCACTTAAATTACGGAACTGAGCGGGTATTCGAACCCAGAACCTCTCTGAGGAAAGGAAAGCGCCCACCAACTCGGCCATACGCAGGTGGGTCTATACAGCGAATTGTTTTTTTTTTTTTTTGTAACCGAGGTATCCGGGCCAGCTTGCGCGCACCTCGACTATTCCTCGGGGGAAACTAGCACAGCAACCCACCGCCATGGCCCCCCACTTAAATCATAAGTGCTCAGCTGGGGAATCGAACCTGGGACCAGTGCGCCTAACCACATAATCCCAAGTACGCCCTAACCAACTGAGCTACCCATGGGTAGGTTCTATACAGCGAACTGTTGTTCTCTCTCTTTTCCCCAAAAGACAAACTTTTTCTTTTTTGAGTTTCAGTTCTATACAGGATGCTTAGTTAATGATCGATGTGAAAATGCGATCTCGCCTCAATCAGAACTTGTTCCAACTCTCACTAAGATCGCGAATTCAGCTCATGCATCTACTTCTGTTTGATAAATTACTCTCGTTCAGGTATCGAAAGTGAATATTTTTCTATATAATAATGAAAAGAACTTACCACCATAAGTGTTTAATCGAATAATGTAGCATATAACATATAACACAATAAACTAGGAAAAGTTAATAGCAGGCATGCTCTCAATCGCTCAAAATCAGTACGGAACTAAGCTCACTGTACTTTTCATGTAATTCTCCATACAAATAAATAATATGTGGGCTACCAAAACTGGAGGGAAAAGTACCAAAAAAGTTCTAAACTTAATACAATTGTGTCAATTTAATCATAAACCTTTCATTTGTGCTATTTTAGTCATAAAAATTTCACATTTTTCCAATTAAGTCAATTCGGCCAATTTTGGCCTAAAATTGCCGATATAGACGCCGACCATCTTACGTGGCGTGGTCGGCGCTGACGTGAACATTTTTAAATCGTTTGTTTTTTCTTTCTTTTTTTCTTTTTCCTTTCATTAGGGAGGACGACATTGGGTGAGGGCTAGCAAGCCCTCGTCGGCCGTCGGCGAGGTCTTGGCCCCACCAACAACGGGCGAGCCGGCCCTCGCCCGCCTTCAGCCCTTGGTGGTCGTGAGCGAGGGCCACGATCCTCGCCAATGGCTGGTGAGGGCTTGCTGGCCCTCATGGGCCAAAATGAGAGGAAAAAAATAAAAAAATACAATTCTTTTTTAAAAAATTATTTATGTCAGTGCTAGCTGTGCCATGTAAGACGACCGGAATCTACGTTAACTATTTCCATCCAAAATTGGTCAGAAAGACTCAATTGACAAATTGTGAAAATGTTTAGGATTAAATTGGCATAATCGAAAAGTTTAGGACTGATTTGGCACAATTGTAATAGATTTAGGACTTTCTTGGTACTTTTCCCCAAAATGGTATATTACTAGGAGATTGATAGAGTTAGTTCTGGTTTCTGAAATGGTACAATCAACGGTCAATACCATGATAGCTAAGTAAACCATCACGACAATAAGGGTGCGTTTGTTTCGTGGAATGATTTGAAAAATACTTTCCTAAAAATGATCGCTCGTATCACTTAAAAAAAACGAATGAATGACAATTATTTTCATCGTACACAAAAATATACGAACATAAATTATTTTTGGTGATGAAAATATTTTTCATTGATTAATTATTTTAAGCGATACAATCAATTATTTTTAGAAAAATATTTTTCGAATCATTTATTTTCTACGAAATAAAAAAGGAACATGTTTACATGTAAATGAAGCAAGAACAAAGGATGTGAAGCAAGCCTCCATGATGGAACGAAGCGTTCCAAACATAGAGAAACACGTGTCAGTTTCTTATTTTTCACAATTGAGAAGGGTAATTTTAGAACATGAAGAGTAGATAATTTTTCATGCATTTATAGGTATATAATATATATATATATATATATATATATATATATATATATATATGAAAGATTAAAACTTTAAATCAACTATTTATTTGTAACTACTTCCTATTTTAAGAATATCTTTTTTGTACATGAAAAGTTATACATAATTGAAATACTGTAAGAAGTCAATGTATTGGAGATACGACGAAAATATTTAGATTTATTTCTACCAAAAAGTATATACATACAATAATGTCATCATGTATTCATGTAGATATTTGTTGATCTAAGCACAATTTAGTAATGAATATTTACATATTCGATCCCTTATTTACATTTTCCACAAGTACGCGTGTTCTACGGGATATAGGTCTAATCTACCTAGAAAGGCTGATTCTGACTGGCCATGGAATCCATTTCGCTTGTCGTTGTCATTTTCCTTAGAGCAATGGTAGGGTCAACTCCGTCATTCTTTCTCCAGTAAGATGCTCTCTTAATCACAGAATATTTCATAGAACCAGACAACTTGCTTAGCCAGTTTTCAAAGGAAAAATAAGAAAAGTTTCATTTGTCATATGTTGTTTTGACGCAATAATAAGGGAATGGAGTTATAAGTAAATGAAAGAAACCATGCAAATCCAAGCAACCAATACTTTAATTCTTTTAATATTAAGGATGTAATCTCTAACGTAGAAAGGATGGTTCTTCTTACACTTAACTTTTATTTCAAAATTTAAAAACTTTAGAAAGATTAATTTATAAAAAATTATGAAATACTATATTATTACAAAAAGATTAATTTGTTAATCAGTACAAAATAATCAAACTATGACATGCTGGATGCAATTTATAACGCAACAAAGCTCTAATTATAAATTCATAAGCATGATTTGCAAATTTTTTCCTTATAATTTTTTAGAGCGCAACTCTGTATTATGTAAATCTCCCATAATTGCCACACGTTTCATAGATAAAAGCCACCGAAAAGTTAATTTTTTTTGTTGAAAGAAGTTATCCATGCTATTGCCATGTCGTGTTTGGCTTTGAGTGATCCAATAGATACATATGACTGAACTAGATACTCGGATTATGTTGTGTTGCTTGTTAAATGGACCAAAGCGAATTAAGCATCCATCCACGGATCGATTAAATGAGTCGAAGGTTACGTTGACCTATTTGCGTCCTCCATTATACAAAACGAACACGGTCAAAGAATGAATATTGGTAGGAAGTGTCATTCAATTTGATGAAGCCAATTAAGAGTCACTTTTACTTTTTTTAAAATTTAATGGCTTTCACAATTAGATTTTTATTTAGCAATAAACATACTTAGCAATAAACATACGAAACTTTTCAAACTATACAAATATAGACATGTCAAATCATGCATATTTTGTAATTTTTTAAAACCTAATATTTTAAAAGTTTCGAATTTTGCGTAGAACAATATAGTTTTCACATTACAAGCTCCGTATGTACGTCAATTAGAATATCCTTGAATTCAATTCCCTTTTATTGTTGCATCAGAAAATATATGGCAGGTAAAAGACATTATTTTTCTCTTGAAAACCGGAGAAGTAAGGAGGTCTGTTTCCAAGGAATAATGTGTGATTAGGAAAGCACCATTAGCGGGGAAAAAAAGGGAAATTATCAAATAATGACCCAAAGTGAGTGCATTTTTTCAAAAGAGGACCCTAAGTGGACAAAGTATCAATTAAGGATCCAAAGTGCCAAACTAGTATCAAATAAGGATCTGAGCTCACCGGCTGGCCAAATGTTCGCCGGCCGGCGACCGGCCGACATTTCCGGCACCGGAATAGGGGCAATTTTGTCCAAAATTTTTTTTCTTTTCGTTTCCTTTTCTTTTCTTCTTCCCCGGTCGCCGGTCCGGCGACCGGGCCAGAGCTGAGGCCGGCGAGAGCTCGAGCTCGCCGGCCATCTGGGCGAGCTCGGCCGGCGAGCTCTGCCCAGATCTGGGCGAGCTCCGCCCTCGCCGGCCATGGCGAGCTCCGCCCAGATCTAGGCGAGCTCGAGCTCGCCGGCCGGCCCTCGCCATGGCTGTGCGACGGCGAGGGCGGAGCTCGCCCAGATTTGGGCAGAGCTCGTCGGCCGAGCTCGCCCAAATCTGGGCAGAGCTCGAGCTCTCGCCGGTCTCAGCGTGCTCGAGCTCGCCGGCCATGGCACCCTCCCCCTCCCTTTCCCGCTCCAAGTTCTCCCCATGGAAGCCCCCCCCGGAGTCCCCCGGCTCCGCCGCCCCGCCCCGCCCCGCCCGATGCGGCCCTCGACAACCCGGATCTCGGGCCCTTCCTCCTCAAGCTCGCGCGCGACACCATCGCCTCCGGCGACGGCCCCGCCAAGGCCCTCGACTACGCGATCCGGGCGAGGCCGGCCTCCTCGAGCTCGCCCAGATCTAGGCGGAGCTCGCCATGGCCGGCGAGCTCGAGCTCGCCCAGATCTGGGCAGAGCTCGCCGGCCGAGCTCGCCCAAATGGCCGGCGAGCTCGAGCTCTCGCCGGCCTCAGCTCTGGCCCGGTCACCGGTCGCCGGACCGGCGACCGGGGAAGAAGAAAAGAAAAGGAAAAAAAGAAAAAAAATTTTGGACAAAATTGCCCCTATTCCGGTGCCGGAAATGTCGGCCGGTCGCCGGCCGACGAACATTTGGCCGGCCGGTGAGCTCAGGTCCTTATTTGATACTAGTTTGGCACTTTGGGTCATTAATTGATACTTTATTCATTTGGGGTTCTCTTTTGAAAAAAGGCACCCACTTTGGATCCTTATTTGATAATTTCCCGGAAAAAAATGATGGAGCCGTCACCATCGACATTGTTCTTTTACCGACGCTAGTCATTTCCTTTACAAATCAGACGGCCGTGAAAAATTCACTTTCGATCAAACGCGTGACGATGATTGTCAATCAGCAGCCGAGGATAACGATCCTTGTCAGACATCCAACAACTCATGAGCAGTCGATGACTTTGCTGCATGTAAGTCAAGCTTGTCCCTGACATTAATCATAGGATACACTGCAGTGCTTCGGATATCCTTTCGATTCTTTATCTAGCTATCGAATTTCCAGCAAGAAATTCACCTTGATTCTACAATTTAACTCGGCATGGACAACAACCGAGGAGGTCGTCAAGCAACAGCTGAAAAACATGAGATCGAGCTCGTGAAGCAGCAGTTATTGCCTTCCATGTCAAAAGATATTGAAGCAGCGTCGAAATTGTTGAATGAATCAGCACACAAAAGCAGATGTAGCATCTTCAGAGTCCCCCAGGCACATGCCGGAGGAAAAGCCAAGACATGCCGGCCTCACATCATCTCTATTGGCCCATACCACCATGGGAAAGCGCAATTGGGAATGCTTCAGGAACACAAGTGGAGATACCTCCACAGCATGCTGGACCAAACTCAACTGCACGGTGTTGGCCTCGAGGACCTCATTGATATGGTGGCGCCGAAAGTGGAAATGATCCGACAGTGCTACTCAGAGAGCACCGACAGTTTCAGCGGACCTGATCTTGTAAAAATGATGGCTCTTGATGGATGCTTCATCATTCAGTTCCTCCGTCAAATGGTAGGGGTTGCACGGACTGATCCCCTACTAAAAAATTCATACGTGTTAGCTTCTGTTATGCGGGACCTTCTTCGGCTTGAGAATCAGGCCCCGTACTTTGTTCTCGAGGATTTGTTTGAAACGACGAATGTTCCAAACGGAACCTTGTCCTTGACCGATCTCACCTTCCATTTCTTCAGCTGCTTCCCGGAAGTATCCGGTAATGTCTGGGAAAGACGAAGCAATCCAAAAGGAGTGCATTTACTTGATTCATTTCGTTTGAGCTTAATACCTTGGGATCAACGAGACATTTATCCAATAAACAAGAGCTCGTCTCATCATCTGATTAGATCTGCTTCTGAGCTCCGTCGTGTGGGAATTGAATTCAAGCAGAGGGAAGCCAGCACCTTCCTAGAGATCAAGTTTGACCGCGAACGCAGAACCGTTGGAATTCCAAAAGTAACCATAGATGATGATCTCAAATGGATCCTCCCCAATATGGTTGCTTTTGAACAGTGTCGTGGTCAAGGGGACGGGCACATAACCGCCTATGCCGCATTCATGGGATACCTCATTCACACGGCCAATGATGTACAACTTTTGCACGACCGTAAAATCATCTCGAATCACGGCATGAGCAACGAGGATGTTGCACACTTCTTCGGTGATGTCTGCAAGGATGCTACTTTCTCTGTCGAGGGGAGCTATCTAGAGTCTCACTTCGCAATTTTAAACGAGCCTCTTAAGCATGAATGGGCTTATCTTTGTTGCGCACAACTCCTAAATGCTTTTCATGACAATCCATGGTCGGTTATTTCGGGCCTAGCTGTTGTAGTAACGCTTGCAGGCATGATTCAAACAGTATACGCTGTATTGCAATACTCTCATCCCAAGTAGCAGGAAGCAGTATGCATCTTTCATATTGATTTCATTACATGTATTGACTATGTTATCAGTGAATCTTTCAAGTTGTTGATCAATCTTGAATAAGTGACGAACAGTTATCATCACTAAAGTGATGGTCACTAGGGGAGAGCATGAACCGGGCCCCAATCGTCGACCGCTCCAGTCATCGACCACCACCATCAGCTACCGCCTACTATCGGCCATCAATCTCCACCTCTATCACCAACCGTTTAACATTCACAAATACATGGCATGATTAAATCAAGCAGGGACACGATAAGCAAATCGGTGCAGATGTGTGTAATGGTCAAGACTCAGGCCATGGATTCAGCATCATCACCTCGCCAACAACCACCATTGATATCCGTGGGAATATAGAACACAAGACAAAGAGAACAGCGATTCAGCAATATGTTCAACAAATGTAAAATACGCATGTAATCATGTCAAATGGTTACCGGCTCAGATTGCTCCACCTGAACAACGCTAACGTGTTCCCAACTTAAACGATTACAGAGAGTTTTTTTTGTCACCTCAAAGAGACATTTTATCAAACATATCGTGCGCGTTCAGCGGAGGAGTGAAGCCAATTGTAATGAGCTCGAATTTGATGCCGGATTCATACAAAAGTCATTCCATGGTGTGTACAATCAATGAAGTAAACTCATACAGAGCTGATTTGATCTTAACAGAAATCATGACATTTAAATTTTTTCTTTCATCAGAACAAAGAAAAATTGAGTTGAAGTGTTACCTTAGTGAGGAGAAATTCTTGATTGTGATTACTAGTCAAGCTTGCACAAGGAGGATCTGGGAAGCGTTTCCTGTGAAGATGAGCAACGGCTATGAAGCTTCAAACACAAATAACCTGCTTCGAGTCCTCGCGGCCAAGAACAGGGCGAACAGAGCTTCCTGTGGCTGTCGAACTGAGAGTGACGAGAAGCGATCCAGTGACGGCGACGATCGGCAACAAAGAGGCAGGAGAGGATTTGGCGGAGCTCGCCGAGAGAATGACTTCGGGACGCACAAAAGTTTCTCAAATCTAGGCAACAAATGCTCTCTGCTCTAGCCCTCTTTCAGTATACCTGGGCTGAAGTAAAGAAAATGGTTGTTTCGGACTCTCTAATTAAAACCCCTTTTTTATCATCATTTTTTCATTCATTTTTATTTTATCATTTCATTAATTCTCTCCTTTTTTTTTCTTTTTTTTTGTTTTTTTTATCAACAAAAAATTCAGGCGTCAATAGTGAAATAAACTGAATGCCAAACCAACCATCTCACGAAATCCTCCTGTGACATTCCTTTTTTTTTTTTTTTTGATAATCGAGGTGTCCGCGCGGTCGGCGAGCTAGGGCTCAAACCAGCGTTGATGCCCGACTAGTCCTCGAGGGGGCTAGCGTAGCATCCCACCGCCACGACCCCCTACTTAAATCACCGATGGGTGAGTTTGAACCCAGGACCTCATGTGACATTCCTTTGGCCTCTACATAAAAGAATATTTGGATAAGCAACAACTATTAATTCAGCGAATTATAAAAGAACTTGCGCATCAAAATATAGGTATTAGGAAAGAAAACCATTAGTATGGTTTAGTAGTATGTTATGTACCTTAGACTGGGGTAAATCGACGAGGGCCTTGTAACGCCCTACAGAAGTCATGCTTCCCAGATGCCTGTACACAAATGGGTCTCCTAGAGGTATGTCTTCCGAGCAAAATGCTTTCCCTCCATCTTGCTTTCCTATCCTACGAAACAGCTTCTCTGAGAATTTCCCTTCCCTTTTTGCGACCTGTTTCAAAAATTAGCATTCATATTATTTCCAAGGAAAGAAGAAAACTGAGCCTTTATGCAATGAGAAAAGGGATAGTAAATGACCACTTCCAAGTTCAAGTGGAAGGATTAATGCCACATCTTGTACAAAGTAGAACAAGATAATAAATTTCAATAATTTTCCCGGAGAAGTTGAAAGAGTGGAGATCAACACATTTAGAGCGAAACATTAGAAAATATATTTATTAGATAATTCTTTGAATAGAACGTCGATGAAAAAAGGATAAGTTTTAAAAATTGCTTGTCACAAAAAATATGGAACATTTAACTTCTGAAAAGAGGCTTTTGTGTGTTTGCTAAATCACAAAGCAGCCACCCATATATCTTCTACCTATTTTAGAGTATGCAATAAAAAATTACAGAGCCAACTTATACATATGCGTCAAAATTTTCACTTGTCTCACTTTTCATTTTCCTACATTACCCTTGCATCAAAATTGAAACTGCCTGACAGGCCACTCCTCTCTCTTTCATCGAGTTACCGTATAATTCATGCATTGCTTAATAATAATAGTAATTATCCGTTACAAATACACCATTTCTTTCAAAAAATGATTCATTTCTCTTCATATGTAACCCATCCACGATCACGCACATGATGCGCATGGTGCGTGCCTCAACACTAGTATATCAGAAGAAATGTAGAGTGGGGATGGAGCCTTTTTCCGGTTAAGGTTTGTGGTCGAAGATTTCGATTTAATTAATCATCACCTCAGGCCCATGGTCGATGCAACTGATGATCAAGCTCTATAAGGAAAAAATTGCTAACAGAGCACTAAAATTCACTTATCACATTCAAAAACTAATAGCTATGAATGTAACTATTGCTTTATATGAGAGCAAGGGAGTAGTAGACAACAACTTATCATTATTTCTTTAGTATCATTATACCGAAGTTCTCCTTTCCAACAAATATTGCTTTGCCAACCTCCAAAAGAATGGTAAAACGATTATTAAAATAAACAGTCTTCAAGTCAGAAAATTCAAACATTTTAAAAATTAGAAGCGATATCAGAATATTATCATAATATAGCAAAAATATTCTTCAAAGTATCGTAGTCTTAAAATAGTAAGATAAACAATTACAACTAAATATTAGGAAATTTCTTTATTTAACAAAAGCTGGTTTTTAAAGAGCGCTGCTCTTCCAAAATGTTTTGGGATACAAAATATATTCATACATATATGCAGTTTCACTTGAAAGTAGTTGGCACAAATTTAAACTTCCATCAACGTAAATATGGAAGAGTGTCCTCATCATGTTCGAGTTTTATAAGTTCATTTTGAGCCAATCTATAGTAGTAGCAATGCGTACATCAATTAATTATTTAGATCCTATTTTTTTCTAGTATGTGTGCATCTGTAAAAATAATATCAAAAACCACTTGAAGATATGTAATTACTTTATATCCCCATTTTAATTGAAACTTCGATTCTTCACTTTCTTTTTGTATTAAATCATCGACTTCACCCACTTACATTTTGTCTTTTGTGTGGCTACTTGTCCTCGCTCAATGTGTACTTCCTTAAAAAATGTCTTTATCTGTGGCGACTCCTTTGACAACTGGGCTATGTAAAGACCGATATTCAGATTCACTTATTTTATGAAATTTCGATCTTTTTATCTTCTTTTTGTACTCAATCATCGATTTCTTTTTTGTTTGAAAAATGTACTTTCATTCGTTCATAAAACAAGTATTACTAGAAGAAGGGAAAAATTACCAAAACAGTCATACGCTTATTGCAATTGTACCAATTCAATCCTAAATATTTTTTTTGCTAATTCAATCCTAAACATTTTGCATTTGTGCTAATTTAGTCCATCCAGCCAATTTTGGCCGGTCGGCACTGACGTGGACGATAGCCGTCCGGCTAACGTTGACGTGGCAATTTTTAATTTTTTTCAATTTTTTTTCTTTCCTTCTTTCCTTGGCCGGACCAGCCAGGGGCTAGGACCGGGCGGCAAGGTGTCCTCACCGGCCACTGGTGAGGCTCATCGGCCACTGGTGAGGCTCGCCGGCACTAGCGAGGGCGACGACCTCGCCCAACGACAGCGAGATCGGCCATGGCGAGGGCGACGACCTCACCAGATTTGGGCGAGGTTGCCGCCCTCACCCACAGCCATGGCAAGGGTGACGACCTCGTCGTCGACCTTGCCCTTGCCATGGCCAACCTTGCCGGCGACGCCCTTTCTAGCGACGGTGAGGTTGTCGCCCTCTCCCAGCGATGGCCAGGTTGAGGCTCGCCCTCGCCAGTGCCAGCGAGGGCGAGCCTCACCAGTGGCCGATGAGATGACTTGCCGGCCTTAGCCCCTGGGGAAGAAGGAAAGCAAGAAAAAAAAGGAAAAAAAGTAAAAAAAAATATTTTAAAATTACCACGTCAGTGTCGGTCGGACGGCCGATGTTCACGTCAGTGCTGATTGGCCAAAATTGGCCGGATGGACTGAATTGGCATAAATACAAAATATTTAAGACTGAATTAGCATAAAAAAAGATTTAGGATTGAATTGACATAATTATAATAGGTTTATGATTATTTTGATAATTTTTCCCAAGAAGATGATATAGGGAGCTTCAGAATGCAAAAAATTCTATACGGGTTGGGGAGGTAAAGTAACTGAGTTCCGGAGCATTGTTATTAATTTTCTCACTGTGCATTCTGGGTATAAATTCACGATTGGTTTATTCCAATCTGGCGGCTAAGATTGGTGAAGCTGCTGGCTGTACAAATCATTGAACTATTCCAACTTGACCAGCCAGCACCTTACCAATAAAGTCATTGATTTGTACCAATTTTCCAACTTGAACAGCCAGCACCTTACCAATTATTTACTCTCTTTTTTTGTCGGAACCAATCATTGACTTCACCTGTTTACTTTTTATCTTTTGTGGGGCTTCTTGCCCTCAATCCGATCATAGTTCCTTAAAAGTTGTGTATCTCAGAACCTCGTTGAACTTGGTAATGACCGAATGGATGTTCAGATTCATTTATCAAGTCAAACCCACTTCATTAGTATAAATTTATTAATGATGCATTCATGTTTGCTAATGTTTTAATGAAAATCATGTATAGAATAGAAAGACAAGAAGAGAAAAGGGATACTCAATTGTTAACGTGGTTCAGACGACCAAGAGTATAATCCCTTAAAAGCTTACATCCACGGTGGTAAATCTCCAATTCATCTTATTTTTTGGAGGGAGGATTCATTATCCTTTAGTAAAGAGCAACACAATGGGTTACAGTGATTAATTTGGTAACTACAGTTATAGCACAACCCAACATGATCTCCTACTATATTGGGATTATGATGATCTTGCATCCTTATCGTTCCAATAGTTGAGATCTTTGTGGTTCCTAAGCGGAAAATTGTATTATACAAGAATTGTGCTTGGTATACTAAGATTGGCGTACTGAATCAGCACGTTAAACGGCCTAGCAGATGCTTATTGGCCATTGAATCTAATTCGCTAGCCT